TACCCATCTTGGTGCACTCACGAAGACGAGTTTTCTTGACATCTCTAGAATAGTCGCTTTGGTGCACTCAAGAATACCAAAGCGACTATTCTAGAGATGTCAAGAAAACTCGTAGCGATCGGGGATACCATCTTGACATGTCAAGAATACCATCTACATCTCACCGCTGTGATCTTCTCCTAACGGTCAGCGATGCAGGGAAGAATGGCAGCCACCACAGCAGCAGCAAGTCTTTCCCTGGTTAGCGATGCACCATAGAACAGAACCAGCACAGGGCTTATACAACACCAGCGAGCTTCCATGTAAGCCCCACTCACCGCTGCGATCTTCTCCTCCCTGTCAGCGATGCAGGGCAGAATGGCACCCACCACAGCCGCATAGTACGGCATCATCTGTGCGCCCCCCAGCTTCACAAAGTCGTTGATCTGCGATGAATGACGGAGAGCAGAGAGCATGCATGAGCTTGAGACATGGGATCACATGGCATCATCGTCGTCGTCGTCGTCGTCGTCGTCATCATCATCATCATCATCATCTGTGCGCCCCTCAGCTTCACAAAGTCACTGATTTGCACTGGATTAGAGGCAGGTGGTAACGAGCATGTGTTAGTAGCGCATCATGAGATAGCATGGCATCATTTGTACCCATGAGGCGGCAGTGAGGCAAACCCATGTGACAACATCACATCACATCACATCACATCACAACGCAACATGTCACATAAAAACACATCACATCACATCACATCACATCACATCACATCCCATCACATCAAAACACATGAAATCACACCACATCCCATCATACCCATGTGACAGCAGTGAGGCGAGTGAACTCATCGGACGACCCCGCCCGCTGCACCAGGATCTCCATCATTCGACCGTACTCCACCGCCTGGGTTGTACAGGTGGTAGGGAGAGGGGAGATACGGGAGACGGGCGAGAAGGGAGCAATGCGCTTCCGATGAGTTTTTTTTAGGCGCCTCAAAAATCGTTTCCGATGAGTCTTGCCATCAGCAGGGGTTGGCCATCCATCATACTTGCTGCACCGGAATCTCCATCACACGCCCGTCCATTTTGAGTCGCATCAAAAGCCATCAATCATACTTGCTGCGACAGAATTCCCATCACGCGCCCATACTCCACCACCTGGAATTCACTTAAGAGAAAGCTCAAAAGTGATTTCCGCCAGACTTGCTGCACCAGAATGTCCATCACGCGCCCATACCACACTCCACCGCCTGAATATGGGCGGAGTGGAGGGGGGGAAGAAAGCCGCAGAGAAATGAAGAAACCATTCAACTCCCCCCAACATATCCGCACCACTCAAACTTGGGCCGAGCAAATAAACGAACACCTGTTCGGCGTTCGAGGCGAACCGAACAGGTTTGTTTTTTTGCTTAAAGTGTTCGTGACAAACATGTTCGAGGTTCGCCCGAACACGTTCGTGTTCGGGCCGCTGCTGCAATTTGCCCCGCGTCGAACACGAACGTGTTCGAGGTTCGCCCGAACACACCTTCACAGGCAAACACCGAACACCTTTTTTTGCTAAAAGTGTTCGCCGAGTTCGGTTCGGCGAACGGCTGTGTTCGTGCAGGGGCGAACGCGAACACGTTCGTGTTCGCCCCTTGCTCACCCCTAACTCAAACCCCTGCGCTACTGCAATCCCTCCTCGCCACACTCACAGAAGCATGGCGAATCTCGTGCAGGAACTCCCTCCCTCGGCGCGCTGTCTGCCTGCAGCACTGCAGTCCAAGCCAAGCCACCTTATCCGCACCTCACTGCTACTCAACCTCCCCCCGCTTCCCCCCCTTCCCCCACCCTCCCACTCACAGGAGCGTGGCGAATCTCGTGCAGGAACTCCTTTAAAGCGCTGTCTGCCTGCACTGCAACCCACCTTATTCACTGACACCACTCAAACCCCCCAGCGCAGCACATCCTCGTTACTTCGCCCCCACACACTCACAGGCGCGTGGCGGATCTCGTGCAGGAACTCCCTTAAAGCGCTGTCTGCCTGCACTCTGATCTCGTGGGCTGAATCGCCCAGCATGTTGAACAGCCCTGGTGGTGGGATGGCACGGGAAGGGGATGGCAGGGAAGGGGATGGCAGGGGAAGGCACTGTGCGGGCAGCCCATCCAGGCACAAGCCATGCATGCAGAACAATCGCCCAGCCCCGCCCAGCCCCGCCCAGCCCCGCCCAGCCCCACCCAGCCCCGCCCAGCCCCACCCAGCCCCACCCAGCCGGTCAGGTAGGAACCCTAGCGTGTCCATGTCAGGCACGCTGTCAAGCACGGTGATCCCTTGAGAGTGGAGTTAGAAGGCAGACACGTCATCCACTCCTCATGAACCCGAAAACACAGCACTGAGTCACTGACAACCTAACCCACCATCCAGGAGATCAGGTAGGAACCCGAGCATGTCGATATCGGGCACGCTGTCGAGCACCGTGATCCATCCGACCAGGAACTGCTGCACAAAGGGGTTGAGGACGCTCATGTGCGCTCGGAGCAGAGGGATGAACTCCTCTATGCTGTGTGGATAGGGATAGGGGGAATGGGAGATGGAGGGGATCGAGTAGGGGTACAAGGGTAGAGCATGGGCCAGCACGAGGGAAGGAAGTGAGGCATGGTGGTGATCCATCCGACCAGGAGCTGCTGCGGCGAAGGGGTTGAAGTCGCGCATGTGCGCTCGGAGGAGCCGGATGAACTCCTTTATGCTGTGAGAAAAATAAAAGGGTGGTGAATGAGGAACAAACATAGGATGTGGGACAAGCAAGGAGTGATCCAGGTAAATGCATGAATTTCATTTTTCTATGCTGCATGCATGGGGTAAGGGAAGGGTAGAAAAACGTATCCATTAATGGAATGAGTGCTGCACGATGCTTCTTGGGACAGAGGTAGCTTTTGAGTCGACTCAAAAATCGACTTATCACACACGGTAAATTGTTAGTGAATAGGGGTGTGGTCTGGTCGGGATGCAGACCGGGAAGAAGCTCATAGAAAAGGGACTGGATGCCACGAGCGAGGAGAGGAGGGGGGATGCAGATGAAAAAGGGAGGATATGGCAGCAACGCAGCACACATGAGATGTACGGATCCTAAATAGGGACTAGGAGGAGCAAGCGAGGGAGTGAAGGGATGTGCGAGGGAGTGAAGAAGTGTGAAAGCCATGGAACTAGGCATGGTTCCAGAGTGAGACAGAGAATCATGAGGGACGATGCAGATTGGTGAGAGGGGGTGATGATGGGGCCGGAGGGGCACCTGAACTGGTCGCTGACGGTGACAATGTCCTGCAAGGAGTGCGAGCATGAGAGCAGGTGCATGGCATGTGGAAGGAGGAGAAATGAGTTGTGAATTGTGGGAGACGAGACGAGTTAGAAATCCAAAGTTTGGGTTCAATGCTTTTACTACCAAGGCTCAAACGATAGATGCTGCGGAGCTCGAGGTGCATTGAAACACCAACATTGGCGCCTCAATGGACGAAGCGCAATGCAATGGGAGAAGCATACATTGGCTTCTGCACAGGTCAGCAGCTGAAATGCACCAACAGCAGCAGGAGCGCAGCAGACTGACTCACAGACTCTCTCTCACTCACTCACTCACTCACGCACTCACTCACTCGATCGCTCACTCCTCACTCCTCACCACTCAATACTTACCTTGACGAGCCAGTCAAGCAGATGAACAACGGACTGCACGTTGGGGTCCAGGTCGGCAGACAGCTTGCAGAGGGCGTTGAACACCCATTTACACTCCCACTTCACACTCCCTCACACTCCCTCACACTCCCACAGTCCCACTCAATCACCCACCTTCACGAGGCGGTCCAGCAGGTGGGCAGCGGACTGCACGTTGGGGTCGAGGTCAGCAGAGAGCTTGCAGAGGGCGTTGAATACATCGTTGAAGAACACTATGAAGTCGCCACGTGTCACCTGGTGATAGGACGGACGAAGGGAGGGGGTGCACACATGATGTGCAGTGTGTGTGAACGGTGCCGACGTAGCATGCATCTCATCTGAATCAATTCATGGGACGCCTCAATTCATGGGACGCCTCAATAAAAGTTTTTTTTTCCACACAAGTTGGGTGCATGCGCAGTGGAGTGCATGCATACCCATTTACGCACTCCTCAGGAATGCATAACCACTATGTGCAAAATCTCGTTTTGTATTATAATGGGTTTCAATAAACCTCCACTTTCACGCAATCTTCTCACCGCTCACCTACCATTCAACCAACAGCTTTTCACTCCACGCTCGCTGGTGAATCTCTCTAAGCACCAAAAGCGGACTTGGCAGTGTTGTGTTGCAGAGCACAGGCGGATTTTGAGTAAGCGGGACCCAAAACCTGAACCCCAAGTCCCAAAGCCCGAAACCTCAAACCCGTCTGGAAAAACAGCAGCAAGGGTTTAGGTTTTCAGGTTTAAGGTGATAAAAGTAGTGTTTTGAGACGTCTCAAAACACTACTTCTATCACGTAAGTTTTTAAGGTTTAAGGTTTAGGGTCGGCAGCAAGGAGGTCACATCGGCAACACTGTTGAGCGCATCACAGGAGTAGTGCGTCGGAAATGTTGAAGCGGCATTTGAGATTGTTAAGAGTTCTCAAAAGACGTGACTTTACACACGCAGGGAAGCTTAGGATGGCAGCTTGGCGATATTGTAGAGTGCTTCACAGGCACAGTTGCGCACACGGCTGAGTTTCGCAGCACCTTGCAAATCTCGTGGTTTGTGAGAGACGAAGGAATGTTACCTTAGTGATGTTGTAGAGCGCCTCACAGGCGTCGTAGTGGCGCACTCGGCTGTCGCCACTGCGAGTCAACTCACAACACAAGTCATCTTGATGCAATGGCACGCAGGGAGCACAAGGTTAGGGTTAGACCATCACCTTAGCGATGTTGTAGAGCGCCTCACAGGCGTAGTGGCGCACTCGGCTGTCTGTCGTCATCGTGAGTCAACTCACGAGTCACCTTGATGCAATGACACGCAGAAAGAGGAAGGTTAGGGTTAGGGCATCACCTTGGCGATGTTGTAGAGCGCCTCACAGGCGTAGTAGCGCACTCGGCTGTCCGAATCCGAAAACGACTTGAGCACCTCTGGCACGATGCGCTGGTGGGGGGGAGAGAAGGGGGCGGTGGGATGCATTGCACGGCACGGGGTGGGGTGGGGTGCACAACAAGTGAGTGAACACGAGGGGAGGCGTCTGGAAAGAAAGCGCCTCACAGGCGTTGTAGCGCACTCGGCTGTCTGAGTGTGAAAAGGACTTGAGCACCTCTGGCACGATGCCCTGGGAGGAGAGGGTAGAGGGGGAGGGAGTGGCAGGGGCGCGCACGAGTGGAGGCTCGCAGCAAAGTTGGGCACTCAAATCAAGGGTATGTGCAGTGCGTACTCAAGCAGAAGGACTTGAGCACCTCGGCTCGGGCACAACGCAGTTTGGGGAGGGATGCGATGCATTACATGGGGCAGTCTCAAACCAACTAGATATGGAAGCACCATGCTTGCGTGTATCAAAATAGCTTTCCTCCTCCCCACCCCCCAAACACGTACATCGAGGTAGGTACTGACTTGCGTCAGGGCCCAGCCCACCGTGACTGCCGCCAGCCACCAGTGTATCAAAATAGACCTCCCACTCTAACCCAACCACTCCCATCCACCCTGCCAACCCCCCCCCCCCCCCTCACAACGTACATCGAGGTACTGACTGGCGTCAGGGCCCAGCCCCACCGTGACCGCCGCCAGCCCTATGAGACCCCCCTGGAGCCATGGTCAGCGCAGGGCAGGGCGGTGCAGACAGACAAGATGGGATGGTGCCGGCAGGGCAGGGCACATGTAGGTAAAATGGGAAGGGGGGGAAGAGAAAAGGATTTTTTATTTTTAATTATTATTATTATTATTTCCTCTTCGACTCAGAAGTCAGGGCAGGACGGTGTTGAAAGACAAGAGGGGGGTGATACTGCATTTTTCAGAGTTCTCAAAAGCGTATACAGGGCGAGGGTTAGTCAGAGCAGCATAGGGTGGATTCAAGGCAAAGGCTACAATGAACTACTCAGCCCACTCCCACCGCACACCACCCTTAATCACCACGGCTTCTTCTTGTGCCGCTGTGCATCACTCGCTCACCCACTCCCTCCTCACCCTCCCTTCACCCCCTCCTCACAGTCCTCCTCTCCTCACCCCTCTCCTCACCCCTCTCCTCACCCCTCTCCTCACCCCTCTCCTCACCCCTCTCCTCACCCCTCTCCTCACCCCTCTCCTCACCCCTCTCCTCACCCCTCTCCTCGCCCCACTTCCTTCTACAAAATCTCCTCCACCCACCTTTCTCTGGTTCGGCTGCGCTGACGTGGCGTAATCATTGGCCAGCAGGGAAATGATTGCGTTGATCCGCTCATCGTTGCCCTCTGCTACAGCCGCCTTCACTGCTGTTTCGATCTGCACAGCACGTGGCAGCACAAGGACGAGGGGGAGGGACGCGGAGAAGGGCGAGAGTGAGGGGAAGAGAGAGTCAAGGGGAGAAAGGCGTTCGTCCGCTCGTCGTTCCCCTCTGCTACAGCCGCCTTCACTGCTATCTCTATCTGCATAGCACACAGAGCACGGGGGGGGGAGGAGGAGGGGAGGAGGGTATGAGTGCTTGAGGAAAAGAGAGAGTGAACAAGGGAAAGGCGTTCATCCGTCGTTCCCCTCTGCTATAGCCGCCTTCACTGCCGTTTCTATCTGCTCTGCTCATGTAGCACAATGGGGGGAACGGGAGATGGGGCACAGCGGAGTGAGGGGAAGAGAGTGAGGGCAGTAAAAAGAGTTGATTTGTTCCTCACTCCCCTCTGCTACAGCCGCCTTCGCTGCCGTCTTGATCCGCACGCTCAGCACATGTCTCACAATGGGGGGGGGGGACCCGGAAGAGGTGTGTGTGAGGGAAAACCAGAGAAAAAGCGCGAGAGATGTAGCGAGAGGAAGGCGCTGTTTCTCTCCTGCACCCGTTACCCGCTCTTTCCCCCTTTCCTACTCTCCGCGCACCTCAAGCGCGGCCGCCTTGCGCTTGTCATAGAGCTTATCGGAGAGGTTGCGCAGCACCTGCTTCCCCCATGGCCCCGCTTCCCCCATGGCCCCGCTTCTCCCCACCCGTTCCCCCCGCTTTCCCCCTCAGCGCACCTCGAGCGCGGCCGCCTTGCGCTTGTCGTAGAGCTTATCAGAGAGGTTGCGCAGCACCTGCGCGGGGAGCAGCGCTGCGCCGTCGATCATCCTGACGAATGGCTAGATGCGCCGCTAGGATGGAGAAAAAAAACGATGACGCGTATTTTGTTACGTCATCCTTATCGTCTGGCAACCGTCGCGCCGCCGTTCGCTTCGAAGCTAAGCATATCACTATTTATTAGCCGTCTATGCATTCCAAGTTACTACAGCACTGTAACGTAGGTTTGCCTTGCAAGCATTTCGAAACACCGCGTCGTCGTGGATCGTGGAATAACCAATTTGAAATTGCGAACTTCGGGTGTACTTCGTGCCAGGATTGCTGGCGTTTTCACCAAGGCCTGAAAACGACACTTTGATGATACGTAGCCATGGCTCAAGTGGCAACTACAAGTTGCTCGAATTCTCGCGAACACGATCCCATGTTCTCTATGGGGCAGCCTGACTTCGCAAAGCTTTAACAGGCTTCGCTAGGGGCATCTGGCACTGGCTACGATTACCTACATCAATGTAACAGAACCGACACGCAACCTCCTTGTCATGCGGGATAGGTCCCTGGACAGAATCTCATGCTCGTTTGTAATGTATCCCACTTTAGGTGTATTCAGCTTATTATTCACCCTACTATTCAAGCAGATTACTAGTCTTATTACGTTTCATGGTAGCACTAGTAAAAAACAGAGCACTTTTAGCTGGACACAGAAACACAAAACAAATCTTCTAACATGCCTTACAAGCTTTTCTACAATTCCCAGTGTACGCCCCATCCCCAAGCATATACGCTGGGTTCTTTTTACACTCGCCCAGAGCCGCCCACTCCTCGCATTTAGGGTTCAAATCCTCGCAACCGTGCGCCAGGGGGCGGGCCTCAAAGGACCGCACGTGGATCCACTTGGTTGCCGACCACTTCTCTCCGCGGATGACGGGACAGCTGGCGTGCAATGATGACTGGTCCGTGGTGCCGTCCGGGTGGAGGGAGTAGAAGAGCAGTGCATCTCCCTTCTGGGGCTTGACTGGTGAGGGAGTGAAGGGGGAGAGGGTGACGAGTGGGGGAGGGCAGGCGGGGAGAAGGCGCAGTGATGACTGGACTGTGGTGCCGTCCGGGCGGAGGGAGTACAAGAGAAGAACGTCCCCCTTCCGAGGCTTGACTGGCAAAGTTGGGAGAGGGGGGGGAAGGAGGGAGAAGGGAGGGTGAGGGGATGCAGAGGGCGTTGGGATAGGGCGTGCAATGATGACTGGTCTGTGCTGTGGTGCTGTCCGGTTGGGGGGAGTAGGAGAGCAGCGCTTCCCTCTTATGAGGCTTGACTAGCGGCGGGAATGGAGGGGAAGAGGGAGGGGTGGGGGTTGGGCGCAGGGGTTAGGAGAGAGGTAGCAACGATTGTTGAGGTGATCGACACTGATACCCAACGAGCGCACGCGAGTGCTCGCACACACACACACCCACCCACACACGTGCACATGCCCACAGACACACGCGCACACGCCCACCCACACACACGCAGGTACCCGCTCACACGCACGCACACGTGCACGTGCGCACACACATACACACACTCCCATACTACAATCCCACCAAGCACACCTGCTAGGCCTCTGTTTGCACAGTCAGATGCAGTGGCGTCCATCGCAGGCTTGGGCTGGAAAAGAGAACAGAGAGGAGAGAGCAGAGAGCAAAGGGGCAGTGGGAATGAGAAGAGGAGAGAAGAGAGAGGAGAGAGTGAGGCGAGGGGTGAGGAAAAACATCAATTGCCTGTCTGCACGCTCTCACCCATCCCATCCTCCCTGTTGACAGTACCACCCTTAACCACTGAAGCCACTTCTGCAGTGAGAAAGACAGCCTTCTTGGAATCACTTTTGAGAACTCTCAAAAGGGATTTCAATACATCTCTCCTTTATCCACACTGGTCAAATACATGAGCAGAGTGGACACCCTGTGCCCGCCCTTCTGTGTGCTCACCAGCCTCATCCCCCTCTCACCAGCCTCATCCCCCTCTCACCAGCCTCATCCCCCTCTCACCAGCCTCATCCCCCTCTCACCAGCCTCATCCCCCTCTCACCAGCCTCATCCCCCTCTCACCAGCCTCATCCCCCTCTCACCAGCCTCATCCCCCTCTCACCAGCCTCATCCCCCTCTCACCAGCCTCATCCCCCTCTCACCAGCCTCATCCCCCTCTCACCAGCCTCATCCCCCTCTCACCAGCCTCATCCCCCTCTCACCAGCCTCATCCCCCTCTCACCAGCCTCATCCCCCTCTCACCAGCCTCATCCCCCTCTCACCAGCCTCATCCCCCTCTCACCAGCCTCATCCCCCTCTCACCAGCCTCATCCCCCTCTCACCAGCCTCATCCCCCTCTCACCAGCCTCATCCCCCTCTCACCAGCCTCATCCCCCTCTCACCAGCCTCATCCCCCTCTCACCAGCCTCATCCCCCTCTCACCAGCCTCATCCCCCTCTCACCAGCCTCATCCCCCTCTCACCAGCCTCATCCCCCTCTCACCAGCCTCATCCCCCTCTCACCAGCCTCATCCCCCTCTCACCAGCCTCATCCCCCTCTCACCAGCCTCATCCCCCTCTCACCAGCCTCATCCCCCTCTCACCAGCCTCATCCCCCTCTCACCAGCCTCATCCCCCTCTCACCAGCCTCATCCCCCTCTCACCAGCCTCATCCCCCTCTCACCAGCCTCATCCCCCTCTCACCAGCCTCATCCCCCTCTCACCAGCCTCATCCCCCTCTCACCAGCCTCATCCCCCTCTCACCAGCCTCATCCCCCTCTCACCAGCCTCATCCCCCTCTCACCAGCCTCATCCCCCTCTCACCAGCCTCATCCCCCTCTCACCAGCCTCATCCCCCTCTCACCAGCCTCATCCCCCTCTCACCAGCCTCATCCCCCTCTCACCAGCCTCATCCCCCTCTCACCAGCCTCATCCCCCTCTCACCAGCCTCATCCCCCTCTCACCAGCCTCATCCCCCTCTCACCAGCCTCATCCCCCTCTCACCAGCCTCATCCCCCTCTCACCAGCCTCATCCCCCTCTCACCAGCCTCATCCCCCTCTCACCAGCCTCATCCCCCTCTCACCAGCCTCATCCCCCTCTCACCAGCCTCATCCCCCTCTCACCAGCCTCATCCCCCTCTCACCAGCCTCATCCCCCTCTCACCAGCCTCATCCCCCTCTCACCAGCCTCATCCCCCTCTCACCAGCCTCATCCCCCTCTCACCAGCACGGGAACCACCAGCAGCACTGAACACGAACCTGTGCACTGGGAAGCATGGTCTCTCCCTTTCCTCCACAGTGGTCAGATGGTCAGTACACCGTACCACCACCACCACCACCATCACTGAACACACACCTGTGCATTGGGAAACACGGTCTCCCCTCCTGCCTCCACCGTGGTGAGATACATGAGCACCGTTGCCACCCGGTGCCCGCCTATCTGTGTGTTGACTGAGTCAAAGAAATAGTCAAAGTGAGCCTCGTACTTCTGCCCGATCTCGTACTTGAGAATCTGAATGGCTTCACCGTGCTCTGGTGGACATAGAGGGAGAACAAGAGCGGGGGCGAGAGAGCAGTAATGCGTGAATAGCCGACACGGCAATGAGGGTGACCTGGCGTGAAAATACTCAGAGTGAGGCCAGGCTACTCTGAGTATTTTCACGAGGGTGGCCATGAGGGTGGCCGAGCATCGTGCTTCTGCCAGCATGGCAATGAGGGTAGCCTGCCCTGCCCTCTCTCATTCTTGAGAATCTGAATCGCCTCACCGTGCTCTGGTGGAGTTTAGAGTCGACTCAAACTCGACTCAAAAGTCGATTCAAATCATGAGAATCTGAATCGCCTCACCGTGCTCTGGTGGACACAAGGACATGGTGAGCGGGAGAGGAGGGGGAAATCAAGGCGTAAAAAGGTTGGGCTACCATTGGGGATCAAGAATGCGATTCTGCTAGAAAAGGTACCTTCACTTTGGAGAGAAGGGGCATTTGTTGCCTAAGCTTGTGCTGGCAGAGCCAACTGTTGAGGCAGAGGGATACCTATTAAGAAGTCTCAGTAACGGTTCTGAGAATGCAAAATACGACTCAGACGATGCCCAAGCTTGTGCCTTTTGGTGGAGCCAACTGTTGAGGCGGAGGGGCACCACTGGCAAACACGCACCTTTAGACAAGAACGTCTAGGCAGCAATTCATTCCTCCATGCGCTTCACCGCGTCGTCCTGGTACTTGTTCAGGAACATACCTGAGCTAAGGAGAGGACTAAGAGAGGGCTACTGAGAGGGCTACTTGTTGGGATGAAGCGTACCTTTAGGAAGGAAGGTGGTCCAGGCAGCAATGCGCTCCTCTACGCGCTTCACCACGTCATCCTGGTACCTGTTGAGAAACGTGCCCGAGCTCGTGCACATGCAAGGGAGGAGGGCTGCAACTGGGCAGCAAGCGTACCTTTGAGCAAGAGGGGTTCACCTTTTGGGAGGAAGGTCCAAGCAGCAATGCGTTCCTCTATGCACTTGACCACATCATCTTGATACTTGTTCAGAAACGTGCCTGAGCTCGTGCGGATCTCACTCAGCACGCTCTTGCCCGACTGGTTGTCTGCTACAGATGACCGTGTCACCTTGTCCCGGGCCTGGGAGGGAGGAAGGGAGGGTAGAGGCGGGGGGGTGTGGAGGGTGTGTGCAGAGAGGGGAGAGCTCGTGCGGACCTCGCTCAACAATGAGATACCAATCATTGCCGGACTCATCCGATACTAATGAGCTGAGCGAGTCACCTTGTCGCGGGCCTGGGAGGGAGGGCGGAGGAAGGGTTGGTCGGAGGGTCAAACGCATAGGACTAAAACGAGGGAGGAGGTGTTGCGCAGCTACAGGACTTTTGAGAATTCTCAAAGGTGTTGCGGAGCTACAGGACGGTGCTTCGGAGGTCATGCGTGTTAATGTTGGACCTCAGTTCTAACAATGCGGATCCCACTCGTCTGCCACAGACGATCGCATCACCTTGTCGCCGGCCATTGAGGGGAGGGCAGAAGACGTTGGAAAAGCTGCCTTTGGCCCTTCCGGTTCGACTCGTGGCCGGTACGCATGAAGAATTACCATAGTTCGGTTCGTTCAACCCCCCCCCCCCCCCCCCCCCACCGGTTCTGAGACGTCTCAAAACACTTCTTTTTACACGCAGAAGACATTGGAAAGGCTGCCTTCAACCCTTCTGGTTCGACTCGTGGTAGGCAAGCATGAGAAATTACAGGGTGTTTTTGAGAATTCTCAAAAACACACTATATTTGATTCGAATCGAGCCTTTTTTATAAAATTTGAAACAAACGTACAGCGCAGAGTGCAGGGACGGCAGAAAGAGGAGGAAAGGAAGGGAAAGGAAGAGAATGGAAAGAAGAGCATCAGGATTTTGAGGATCCTTGAGGAGTAAGGAGAAAGGAGAGCAGTGAAGGACAGGCAGGGTGAGAAGGCAGGGAAGAGAAAGTGGGAGAGAAGGGAAGGAAAAAAAGGGTGAGTACAGAATTGAAGGGAAAGAAGGAGGGTAGAAGGGAAGCGAGGGGAAAGAGAAGGGGTGAAGGGACGGGATGGGAAAGAGAAGGGGCGAAGGGACGGGAGGGGAAAGAGGAGCTTACGAGGTTGATGAGGTGGTCGCACTCCTCATAGGAAAGAAAGCCCGAGTACAGGAAGGCTCTGCATGGCGGTATCGGGTGGCATTGGGCGGTATCAGGAGGCATTGGGCGGTATCAGGAGGCATTGGGCGGTATCAGGAGGCATTGGGCGGTATCAGGAGGCATTGGGCGGTATCAGGAGGCATTGGGCGGTATCAGAAGGCATTGGGCGGTATCAGGAGGCATTGGGCGGTATCAGGAGGCATTGGGCGGTATCAGGAGGCATTGGGCGGTATCAGGAGGCATTGGGCGGTATCAGGCGGCATTGGGCGGTATCAGGAGGCATTGGGCGGTATCAGGCGGCATTGGGCGGTATCAGGAGGCATTGGGCGGTATCAGGAGGCATTGGGCGGTATCAGGCGGCATTGGGCGGTATCGGGTGGCATTGGGTGGCGCTTAATAACATGAGACCCGAGTACAGGAAGGCTCTGACATGAGATGAGATGGATATTTACCAAGTTCAAGATCACGGCCTTCCGACAGTCCAAGCCAAATGCAACGCATTGCCCAGATCAGCAGGGGATGCCATTGCATGCCCCAACAGAGCTACGCATAGAAACAGACTGAAACGCATTGTTCCCTTTTTCCTTTCCTTCTTCTTCTTGTCATGTTCAGCACGCCTTATCTGCATTCCAGTCCATGCCCCCTGTGCCCCGATTGACTAGAGGTGGGCCCAAGGACGAGCGATAACACAGAGCAATTATCCTAAACCCTTATACCCCCACTACAGCAGCCACAACCACGCTCTGCGCCACACTTGCTCTCTCCCCCCTTTCACCTCCAGTCTGATCCCCTTACACTTGACCCACTATGCTATCACCACCCACTCTGCTGTGACTCATCCCCCTTACTCAGAGCTCCTCTCTGGTCACCTCGGCTCCCACGACAGGCGGGTGATGCGAGAGGGTCTGGTCCTGCCTGCCTGCACCCTCGCTGCCTTCCCGCCCTACTGCTCCCACCCATCCCCCTCTAGCCTCACCTCGGCTCCCATGACAGGCGAGTGATGAGAGAGGGATCAACGGATCCATGGCAATGCCCCTCCCTGCCTGCCTGCACCCTTACTGCCTTCCCATCATGTTGCCCCCATCCCTCCTCACGCCACACCTCACCTCGGCTCCCATGACAGGCGAGTGATGCGCGAGGGATCGATGGGGATGCCTGGTCCTGCTTGCAGAGTAGTTGCGTTCCCATCCTCATGCTGCTGCTGCTGCTGTTGGTTATCACCCGAAGCGATGAGCCTGCCCAATGTGGGATGATGCATGGGAATGGCATGGCACATTAGCATGCTGTGACGAGTGGTGTGGAGTGGTGTGAGAGTGGTGTGAGGGGGTGGTGAGGAGTGGTGTGAGGGTGGAATAAGGGTAGTGAAGAGTGGAAGGGAAAGGAGTGGAGTAACTAAGGCATGGCATAAGATGGCACGTATGTGTGAATGAAATACGGTTGGGCGAGCTGTGATGATTGCCTGGTGGGATGTAGTGATGATGCCATAGTGATGTCATGGTGATGTCATAGTGATGTGATGGTGGTGTGATGGTGGTGTCATGGTGATGTCATGGTGGTGTCATGGTGGTGCCAGCCAGGGCTTGAATCATGTGCATCGTACAACCAAGAAGCTTTCTAGCCATCCACGTACAGCACTCCATTTTCCCAGCATTCACCCGCACAGCAGAGCCCACTATGTCGCACCCACCAGCCTCGATTCCCTCCCACTGCCTCGTCCCCAATCCGCCTCATCCCCAATCCGCCCCATCCCCAATCCGCCTCACCCCCCCCTCCCCCCCAACCCACAAAGTCCGCATCCCCATCCGCCGTCTCCCCATCCTCCCTCCTCCTCATCTTCCCGCCTCCCCGTCCCCCCGCTTCCCCATTCCCCTCTTTCCCCATCCCTCCACCTCACCATCCTGTTTCGCACACAGCCCCTCTTCCCTCCACATCTCTCCAGCCCCTATTCCCTCCACATTCCAACGTCTCACTTCCGCCGTCGATTTTAGTGCTCAGCCCTCCCCCGCCCCCCAACCCCCCGCTTCCCCTTCAGTGCTCAGCCCCCCCCCGTCCCCCATCCCACGCTTTCCCTTCAGTGCTCAGCTCCCCCCCCGCCCCCATCCCCCCGCTTCCCCTTCAGTGCTCAGCTCCTCCCACCTCGCGCAATCGCCCATGGCTTCTCCACCAGCACCAATCACGGTCCTTACCATCAGCTGCGACGTTTCTAGCGTTTCGAGGGGCGCATGCTGCCGCCTCACCGCTCTAACGCGTAAGAACACGCGGCGCTTAGTTTCTAGCGGTTTTAGGGTTTCGAGCTGCGTCAAATCGCCATATCGAACGAAGGCCAAGGCCGTCGGGACTGTACTGCTCTTCATAATATTAAAAAAACGGCAATTTAACCACTGTTACCTCTTCTGCGAACTGAAAGCGGACTCGGCGACGGTCTGCGACACGGCGAGCGACAGCGCGAAGAGCGACGCGACGAGAACCAGAATCGCGTGACAGTGCGAGTCCCGAAGAGGCAAATTTCCCGACATGGCTGCCGTCTGAAGCGAGGGAGGACGGGACTGGATATATTTAATTCCGAATGCTACATCGAGGAGCTTTTTCAGATGCCGGTTCAGCTGCCCGTGCGGGCCGGCTGGAAGAAAGGGGAGCAATACTTAGTGAGCTGTGTAGTTGTGACAACTAATGCGTCGTGGCTGGTATTCTCGTTATGCGGCCATGCATCAACATGTACAAGGTTTTAGGGTGAGTACTACGCACATCAAGAACTACAGAATGCTGGGTGTTTGAGCATTTCCAAATTTCAATCATTGAGCAAGCTCACATGGTTTATCATTCTATGAATGTTCAAAATACCGGATCTGCTAGTAAGAGGTGATTTGTTTTCGGTCGGCTGACTTTTCTGGTGGGCGGAGTACAGTACACTGATTGGATGCCCCACCCCACACTCGCGACAGCTAGCGACGCGCAACACTCCAGCAATCAGCCCCTGCGGCTCGGCTTCCTGCCTCCTTGCCAGCAAAGCTGTGGGGCATCAGGCATTCAAACGAGCCTGTTCGAGCCTGCTACCGCACTAAACCACACTTTATGTTACTCGAAGCTGTCATACCGTGTTACCCATCCATACCATACTTGCTATTTTGAGGCACACTGGCCCCCTTCCCTGCTTTGTTTGAACAGGCCACGCTCACCGCCATGGGCCAGTCGAGGCGTACAAACGGGCCTCTGCTTTCATTCCGCATCGCCATCTTCCCCTCACGATCGCGGATTTTTATCCCCCCGTCGAAACAGCCGCACATACATACGCGTACTGCGAGCAGCCGGCCCACCAATTCACGAAAGTCTCCTCAGAGTGATTTTCATATGTACTTTCAAAGATTCAGCCTCGAGTGTTGCCATTTTCCCGCCACTCGCAGCAGCACCTTCACGAGTTCCGCACCATCGACTGAAAATAACATACTATAGTATTTACGCGTACCTAATACGAAGAAGGATCCAATCTCTTCTTCTGTCGGCATTTTAGTCGACGCATTGCGACGCGAGGTGTATCGCTTCTTGCTTTCGAAAATGACAGGCCGTACGGTTGGATACTGCATTAGAAGAACGAATATGAATGTTACACTTCTGCTCGTGCTGTTGGCCTGCGTGTTCGCGATACAAGCGGCGCCGTTAAGAGGCCGGCGCGGAATGACGGGGGAGGAGCAGCATGAGCAGGAGTACATCGAAATGCCGCAAGACGACGACAACGCGGCGCGCGCCAACGAGCTGCCTTCATTCGAACGGTCCATGGAGCTATATCGCGTACGTTCGATCCCCCTCACCCTCGCCATCGAAATTGATAGACGGCTTTCCGCGTCGTTGGCAACATGCATTGAAAAACTATAGGGGATCAAGATAATACGATGCAGTCGTGCATTGGCAGTAGTGTACACGGTAGTTGATGATCCCTCTCTTACCCGTCCCACCCCTTCCCTTCCCTACCCCCAGTCCCTTTGCCTCCCCTATCCTCCCCATCCCCTCCCTCTTCCCTCCCCATCCTTCCCCCCTTCCCTCCCACTCCCTCCTCCTTCCCTTCCCTCCCTCCCCTTTCCATCCTATTCCCCTCTCGCGTCCTCCTGCCCGCCAGGCTTGGGAGCGGGTATACGGCCTCGCAGACTTTTCAGAATTCTCAAAAGTCGCCTCCCTCTTCTGCCCCCTCCCCCAATCTCCTCTCCACCAGGCCTGGGAGCGGGTCTACGGCCTCGCGGACCCTGCGCAACCGCCCGCGCGCATTGCCCTGCCGCCCAACGTGCCGCGCGCGCCGCACCTGGAGGACTGCTCGGCGCGCAGCGCATTCCGCCGGCAGACAGAGGCGCGCGGGGCGCGCGGGGAAGCGCCCGCGTGGACCAGTGCGCCGAGCGAGTGCCGCTACCCGCAACCGCCTTGGGTGCGCGGATCGGACGCCGCCAATCTCGCCGCCACGCGCCAGGCGCAGGCCGACATTTGGCTGCACCAGTTCCCCGCACCGTCCCCCTCCGCATCCGCGCAAGCCGCCAGGGGGGCCTGCGGCGGGCGGCGCTTGCTGGTGGTGCCGTGGCCGAGCCGCAGAAACGGCATCGGATCGCAGATTCACATCATGAGCGCGTGGTTGAACCACGCCCTGTCGCACGACCGCATTCTCGTCCCCACGCCTGGATCATTCGAGCGCGCCAACCACTCCCATTGCACTGGTACGATCTTTGAGACGGCACAACGCTCATGGCGTGGATGTACGTTCAGACACTCGCACATCCACGCCATGAGCGCGTGGCTGAATCACGCCCTGTCGCACGACCGCATTCTCGTCCCCACGCCTGGATCATTCGAGCGCGCCAATCACTCCCACTGCACTGGTAAGGACTGGGCTGGTAATGACTGATCCAAACGGTAATGAGAGGCTGAACGTCTCCTCGATCAGGCGCGCACATGGGCCCCTTACGAGAATTCCCGTCTCCTTCCGTGTTTTGAGTCGACTCAAAACAAATCCTTTCCCCCGCGCCGCCGAGTCGCACCCGCATGCGAAGAGGCAGCTCTAGGAGGGCCGTCCGTCACCTGTCTCTCCCTTGTTCCCCATCCCCCCACCCCTTCCCCCTCACAGGCGCAGACAAGGGCTCCTTCTCCTGCTACTTCTTCCCCGTCGTCTCCCCCGCCTGCGACGAAGCCGCACTCGAAGCCATTGCGGCCGTCGCAGCAGCAGCGCCAGCAGAAAAGGGTGGGGTGCGGGAGGTGGTGATGGGGGGAGGGGTGAGCGTGCTGGCAACGAGTCCCACGGGCATGGGCGCGGAGGAGATGGCGGCGGTAATGGCGTCCGACGCGCGCGTTCTGCTCTTCACTGAGTCTACTTTCCCCCCTCATTCCACAGCGCTTGCTGCCAGGTGAGAGAGAGGGTGTAGTAGAGGGAAGAGGGGTGAGCGTGGGGGGGAGGTGTGAGCGTGCTGGCGACGAGTCCCACGGGCATGGGCGCGGAGGACATGGCGGCGGTACTGGCGTCCGACGCGCGCATTCTGCTCTTCACTGAGTCGACTTTCCCCCCGCACGCCACGGCGCTTGCTGCCAGGTGAGACGCTTGAAGCAACCCCCTGCATTGCACGGTGCATACTACCAGATGACAGAGAGTGGGGGGGGGCACGGCCATTCTAGAGAGAAGGGGTCACGCGGAGGTGATGGGTGGGCCGTTCTAACTGTCTTACCTGCGCCCGTTCCAAACCCCTCCTTTCCATCCCCATCTCCGTCCCATCAGGCGGTGGGGCACGGCGTTTCTGAAGAGCATGGGGGAAACAGAGGCGATGTGAAGGCTCACTCTCTCCTCTCCCACCTGCGCCCCTCCAATCCATCCCCTCCTCCCATCTCCCTCACACCAGGTGGTGGGGAACAGCATACCTGGAGAGCAGGGGGACCACGGAGGTGATCGGGAGGGTCACTCTATTCTCTCACCTCTCCTCCCACCCCTTCTTACCTCCTCCCCTCACTCCCATCTCCCTCACACCAGGTGGTGGGGAACAGCATACCTGGAGAGCAGGAGGGCCACGGAGGTGATCGGGAGGGTCACTCTATTCTCTCACCTCTCCTCCCACCCCTTCTTACCTCCTCCCCTCACTCCCATCTCCCTCACACCAGGTGGTGGGGAACAGCATACCTGGAGAGCAGGGGGGACACGGAGGTGATGGGGAGGGTCACTCTATTCTCTCACCTCTCCTCCCACCCCTTCTTACCTCCTCCCTTCACTCCCATCTCCCTCACACCAGACGGTGGGGAGCAGCATATCTGGAGAGCAATGGGGACACGGAGGTGATGGGGAGGCGGCTCACTCTATTCTCTCGCCTCATCTCCTCTCCCCCATCTCCCTTACACCAGGCGGTGGGGAACAGCATATCTGGAGAGCAGGGGGGACACGGAGGTGATGGGGCGGGTGCGCGCGGAAAACCCTCCGTACCTGCAGGTGCACTGGTGGCGCGCGCAATCCTTCCGCTTCATGCTGCGCTGGCCCTCCGCCTACCTCTGCCACCTCACCAACCGCGCCCGCCACGAGGCCTACGGCCTGCCTGTCGCCACCCGCCTCGTCAACTCCCTCTTGCAGCAGCAAAACATCATCGCCTCCCTCTCCTCCACTTCCTCCTCCGCTTCTCCCTCCCTCCAAGACTCGGCCAACCCGGACAATCTCAAGATTAACGCATCATCCGAAGCAGCCGTGCTAGCAGCTCTCTCTTTCTCCCCGCAAACCTCCCTCGAAACCAGGGCCTGGCCGGCTCTAGGCTTCGACGGATGCTCCTCTGAAACCCATGTCTCCCCGGAAATCGCCCGCCAACTCGACCTCACTCCCTCCTCCTCCGCCTCCTCCTCTCTCCCGCTCACTTTCACGCCACAAGGCATAGTGGATTCGGTGTATGAGGGGGTGGGAGGGGAGGTGTACATGCCGCGGCCGGTGGTGAGCGTGCATGTGCGGCAGGGCGACAAGGCAATAGAAATGGAGCTCTCCTCCTTCGCCTCCTACATGTTCCTTGCGCACCGCCTCCGCTCCCACACGCCGGATCTGCAGTACGCCTGGCTCAGCACAGAAATGGAGGTGAGTGGGTCTGGTCGGAATGAGGCAGAATGAAGGGCGGGGATGTGAGAGGAGGAGGGGAGCGAAAGGTAATGGAGGCTGTGTATGTGTGTGGGGTGTGCGAGTGGAGCATGTGTGGTGGGCGGTGGTGAGCGTGCATGTGCGGTAGGGCGACAAGGCAATCGAGTTGGAGCTCTCCTCCTTCGCATCCTACATGTTCCTCGCACACCGCCTCCGCTCTAACACATCGGATTTGCAGTATGTGTGGCTCAGCACTGAGATGGAGGTGAGCGGGTTGGTGGAAATGAGGGGTGGTTGTGTGAGTGCGATTGGGAAGGAGACATGTATTGACTCTTGAGGGAGCACGGAGACGAGAGGTAGGGTGGATGACTGAGGAGTGGAAAGTGAGTGTGTGGAGCTTGCTTGACCGCTCCACCCTTCACTCATTCACTCCCACCCCCACTCCCTTCACCCCTCTTCCCCCACTCCCTTCACCCCTCTTCCCCCATTCCCATGTATAAATTTGTTTTGTCTCATCCACAGTCGGTGGTCCAGCAGTCTCGAACTCGCATACAAGGACTGGACCTTCTTCTACACTCGCAACAAGAGGCAGACAGGAGCAACAGCCATGGTGGCTTACGAGCAGGACGCGGGTGTAGAGCTGCTGGTGGGGGTGAGCTTTGCCAACCTCATTATAGCGTCGGAGTGCGATTATTTCATTGGTCCCCTTAAGTCCAACTGGAACAGGCTAATCAATGGCCTGAGAATGACGAATGGACGCATGAATAGGGGATATGCAGCTCTCAATTTCGGAGGGTGGTAGGTTAGTAGTCGTAAGATACAGTGAGCAGTCGCTCAATCTAAATAAACTGCTTCTGCACATAGTGAATGTGGTACAGTACAGCAGTACCGTACAGTACATTCACGTGCTGGATCATCCTTACCGTAATACGGCATTAAAAGCCCTCTTTACTGCTTGTTTACCTTTGCTAGCCTGGAAATCCAGCCAAGTTTCCAGCATAAATTTGCACATATCAGCATGCTTTCTCATGTACCTATTATAAAAAATACACATTCTGGTACATACCTTATATTACAGCATAACGACCATTAACCTATCTTAGGGGGTGTTGCGAGTGGAATTGAGCGAGCGAGCGAGAATTGTGGGTGACGCGCGACGGGCCTGTGACTGAGGTTGGGACTGAGGTCGGGAAGTGTCGAAGCGGAGGCCCGGAGCGCGGGTTACCAGCTGAGCCGTGAGGTTGGGTTGCGACTGTCAGAATGTGATGTTTGTCAAGCCTGCATGTCAAGATTCTAGGCAAGAATGAATGCATTGAAAGGAGAACAAGAGTACAAGTACCTAACCCTAATGGGGTTGTACCCTATATTGTCTACCCCACTACAGCCTACCAACACATTATAGTTTAACACACCCCCATAGGCAAAGTGGGGGAGAACAAGGGGTCACAAGACCAGTCCAGCAAAGCAAAGCAAGCCCAGGGTGGATCACAACGTCACCACACTCTGAACACAAGCAAAGGCCACAAGGCCAGTTCACATGCAGAGCTATATAGATAGAAAAAGACAAGCAACACAGTGATCAAAACCTAGCAAGCAAGCAGCGATATATATAAATCACAGTACAAAGAAAGTCAAGCAGTAAGCAAATGAGGTAATGTGGACACAAGGCCTAACGCAGTACAGTGCCGCTGATGATCACTAGGCGGAAGCGCCTTGGTGAAGACATCAGCAGTGTTGGCCTTCGAGTCCACGTACACAAGACGAAGCTGACCACGCTGCTGCAGCTCTCGAGCAAGAAAGTAGCGAAGAGCAATGTGCTTCGTTCTGTGCTCCAGTCTGTGCTCCTGACACAAGGCAAGGGCCGCCTTGTTGTCTCCGTACAGAACTGGAGGAGAACTAGGCCGCTCTCCCAAGTCAGTCAGCAGGTAGGTGAGCCAGCGTAACTCTTGTGCAGCCATGGCCGTGGCGTAGATCTCAGCCTCACAACTAGAGCTGAGAACAGAAGAAGAGCGGGTGGACCGCCAAGAGACAGAACCAGAGCCAAGGCTGAAAGTGTAACCCTGTGACGACCGCTGCGTAGCCAGGTCGTCCACCCAAGAAGCGTCTGAGTGACCAGTGAGGGCAACTCTGTCGCGTCCTCCAAGCACCAGCCCCATGCCTGATGTACTGCACAAGTAGCGCAGCACCCTCTTAGCAGCCTCCCAGTGCTCTCGCCTGTGTCTCCCAGGCGCAACGTAACGAGCAAGGATGCTGAGAGGGTACGCGAGGTCAGGTCGCGTGCAAGTCATCAAGTACATGAGGCAGCCTACAAGCTCTGGGTATGGGCCACTCGGCTCTACGGACTCGTCCGAAGGTGGAGCTGAGAGCGAGTGACTGGTAGCCAGAGGTGTGGCCTGTGGTGAGGAGAACTGGAAGCCGAAGCGCTGAAGGACCTGCTGCACCATGTGTGACTGAGTCAGGGTAATGGTGCGGCGTGCTCTGTCCCGGGTGATCTGCAAGCCAAGGTAGCTGCGCAGCTCACCCAGGTCAGTGCAGGTGTGTCTCTTCTGCAGCTCCGACTTCACACGAGCGAGTGCCTCAGTGTCAGCAGTAGCAAAGACCAAGTCGTCGACGTACACGAGGATGTAAAACGGCGGCAGCGACGTGTCTGTGCGCAGGAACAGTGACGGGTCAGCAGTGGAAGGAGCAAACCCAAGGGCCGCAAGTGTAGTCCTCAATGTGTCGTGCCACTCGCGCGGCGCCTGGCGGAGACCGTAGACTGGCCGCCGAAGGCTCCACTGGGTACCAGGAGGGAACGACCCAGTGAAGCCAGGAGGGCGGCGCAGCCAGATCTCCTCGTGCAGGGTGCCCTGCAAGAAAGCTGTGCTGAAGTCAAGAGAGTGCAGCTCGTAGTCACGCTGAGCAGCAACGTGCAGCAACACCCGAAGAGTGGTCATCTTCGGGGTGGGGGAGAAGGTCTGAAAGAAGTCAACTCCCTGTCGCTGACTGAAACCTCTAGCAACGTAACGAGCTTTGAAGACAGGCGGAGAACCCGGCGGCCGCTTCACCCTGAAAATCCACATGCCATCGACGATGTTCGCCCCTGGAGGGGGAACCTCGTCGACGTAGGTGCCTGTGGACTTCCAGGATGCCATCTCTGCGTCCATGGCTATCTGCCACTGAGAGGAGTAGGGACCCGAGATCGCCTCTGCGTAAGAGCGCGGAGTGGGGATGTCTAGTGCATCCGGGTCTCCCTTAGGGGCAAGCAGCCAGGCCACGAGATGAGGTACAGCAGCCGCAAGAGAGTCAAAGTCCTCCTGCCTGTCCTCAAGGACGTCCGTGCCAAGAGCACACTCACCCCCGACGGACGGAGGACAGACAGACTCAGACTCAGCAACAAGACTGGCAGTGTAGTCTAGACGACAGACAGCAGCAAAGTCAACAAGCTCAGCGACCAGGGCAGACGCAGCAGCCGACTCAAAAGACGGGTCAGTGACAGCAGTGGCTAACAGACGCGTGACGGTAGGGTGCTCAGCACGAAAACGGTCAGACGCAGGGTCCGGAACGTCAGGCAAAGAAGACGCAGGAGGAGACGGCAGAGGAACCGACTGTGGTACAGAGGAGGGACGACGGACGACAAGGCGAGAACCAGCAACAGGCGGCGAACGCTGGTGCGAGACGCGGCGAGCGGAACGACCAGAACGAACAGGCGAGACAGGACGCGACGCAGGCTCACGACGCTCAGTAAGACCCCCTGACAGCTCAGTGTAAGGAGAAGGAGCAGGCAAGGGCGAGCCAGGCAGTAACGGAAGACCAGTAGAAGACGGAAGACTAAGAACCTGGCGAAGGACAGAGTCAGACGGCGGCAGAGACGACGGCGACGGCGGAGCGAAGAACAGGCGCGACTGTACAGTACCGCCAGCACCAGCAGCTCCAGCACCTCCAGCGACACCACCACCCCCAGTGTCAGCTCCTCCAGGACTGTCCCCACTAGCAGCAGCACCCCCAGAACCAGCACCTCCAGTCCCAGGGTCTCCAGGCGCAGCGTCTCCAGCGGTAGCACCCTCAGACACAGCACCACCAGCAGTAGAGCCCGGAGCTCCAGGAGGGCGACGCTGACGGCGACCGAACCAGTCGTGCAGCTGCTGGGAGGTGAGAGGAACACGCGAACGAAGGCGGCCAGTCCAGGGCGCAGCCTCCACTGGCGACGCACCCCCAGACTCAGCACCCCCAGACGCAGCACACCCAGACCCCTCAAGCACAGGCTCAGCTCCCTCAGACGGAGCACCGCGACAACGAGCAGCTCCAGCTCCTCCAGTACCTCCAGCTCCAGTGTCTCCAGCTCCAGTGGCACCAGGCTCAGGACCTCCAGAACAACCAGCTCCGGCAGCCGCAGTACCTCCAGGACTAGCACCCCCAGAACCAGCAGCTGCAGCACCGCCAGAACCTCCAGCACCAGTGTCCCCGGTCGCAGCGCCTCCAGCTCCAGCTGCACCACGCGGAAGGCGAAAGCGCCGGACGTACCACTCACGGAGCTGCCGCTGTGTGAGAGGCTCCCGGAGAGGCGACTCAACACCCTGAGCACCCCCAGACGCAGCAACTCGAGGCAAAGCACCCCCAGGCTCCGCACCCACGGTCCCAGCACCCCCAGGCTCCGCACCCTCAGGCTCAGCACCCCCAGGCTCAGCACCCCCAAGCTCAGCACCCCCAGGCACAGCACCCCCAGGCTCAGCAACCCTAGCAGCACCACCCGCAGCAGCACCGGAGTCATCTGTGACCTCGACAGGCTCAGCGACGGGAGGAGGGTCTACCTGAGAGACACCTGAAGGAGCAGGACCCTGAGGGGGAAGGGGGTCGACCGGAGGGGGACCTAGAGCAAGGAAAAGCGGCGGGGGGGGGAGGGGGGCAATGCGGTAGGGGAAGAGACGGTAAAAAGGAACCGACTCGTCAAAGGTGACGTCCTGAGAGGCGAAGACCCGGCGCGAGGTGGGGTGGTAAAACTGCCAGCCTGGCGCGTCAGGGACAAAGCCAAGGAAGACACAGGGAAGTGTGCGGGAGGAGAGCTTGTCCGCGGAAGTATCGCGGACAAGGGCACGAGAACCCCACACCCGGAAGCGCGACGCATCGCCGACCTCCCCCGTCCAACGCAGTGTGGGCGAGGTCTCCGGCAAGGAGACACGGGGCCAGAGGTTGAGCTGATGCGCAGCGTACCGGACAGCAAACGGCCACAGAAAATGGGGAGCCGCCGCATGAACCAAGGAGGTACGAGCGACCTCCATGACCAGGCCAATGCGGCGCTCTGCAACCCCATTCTGCTGCGGGGAGCCCGGAAGCGTGAAGGACTGCTCGATGCCCTCCGCCTGACAGAAGGCCCTCAAGAGGTCAGAGGAGAACTCACCACCTCTGTCAGAGTGCAGACGCAGGACAGGAAGCTCTGTCCTGAACCGGCGGCGGAGCTGGAGACGAACTGTGCGGATCCAAGGGATCAGAACAGCAGGGACCTCACCCTTGGTGCGCAAGGGGAAGACCGTGGTGTAACGCGAGTAGTCGTCGACAACCAGCAGAAAGTACCGCTCACCGCCCTGTCCACGGACGCGGGCTGGGCCCCACACGTCCAGGTGGAGGGTCTGCAGAGGAGCCTCGGTCGGGGGAAACGAGGAGGAGTGAGGAGCGGCGCGCTGCCGCCCCTCGACGCAAGGAAGGCAAGGCGGCGCAGGCGAGGCAGAGAGGGGAGGGAGAGACCGGGGAAGACCGGACACAAGGTGACGACGGTGCATGCCACGAAGGCGCGGCAAGGAGGGGTGACCCAGGCGGTGGTGCCAG